TTCCACTGTGAATAACACCTTTCAGGTATTCCCCACTGTTTTCCTTCAGAATGAGAGGTATTCCTTTCTTAGGTCCTGAAAGTCTGTGCTTTTTGTATCATCGGCTTAGAAAAGAGGTAATCCCAAAGAAGTATCTGACTAGGATTTATCTTTTTGAATATTTTGTTATGTTCTCAGGATAGCATAAGATAAGCAAACTGAATACAGTTTTTTTTTACAGAGGAATGTTTGCAGGAGGACTGAGAGAGATGGAACAAGAAGAAGTTCATATTCATGGAATCTCCTACAATGCAATGTGTAAAATCTTGAATTTCATTTATACTTCTGAGCTGGAACTCAGTGTCAGCAGTGTACAGGAAACCTTAGCTGCAGCCTGTCAGCTCCAGGTGAGGTGCTGGGAGGTATGATGAAAAAGAAACAAGAAACAAAAGAATGAAAGAAACAGAAAACATGGCTGGAGGGCTAGGGAGTGAAACAGAGCATGATTCCATTGAAAAGAATTTCTTTGGGATACAGTAACCATTGGAAGGGCTGGAACAATGAACCAGTGCTTGCATGTCTGATCTGTGCTATGGTTTCATCATCATTTTGTCTAAAAGATTATTTTATGAAGCACTCACTTTCACTGATCAGCATATAAAAGCTTCCCTAGAATAGAATACTGCTCACCTCTGATAAAGGACAAGGTGTGCTCCTCAGAAACCATTGTGCTGCTTAAACCTGCCAAGATCTACCCCAGATTGAGTCCACAGGCACATAACCTTACCTGATCTCATCACTGCCACCATGGTTTCTGCACAAAGTGCCTTTTGCTTTCAAGGCAGTTCTTTTTCTCTAATTTTCCCTGCAGCTAATTGCTACTAGCCTTAAACTTTCTGGGTGCTTTGGGTGGCTACACACTTAGCACCGGTTAGTGGAGGGACTCTTGATCAGTTGTTACTTTGCCAGGTGTCCTCATGCCAGATGCAACTTCAGATAGTACTCAGAAGACAATACTAAATGCTAATGTTCTCAAATGGCTTTTTATGTACTTGAGTGATGCAGATATTTTTGTTATAGTTACAATCTGCGATATAGCGTGTCTGTAGTGCACTGAGAGAGCAACTGAGGGAGCAGCTGTCGCCATGTCCTTCCTGCCTTTTGTTTCCATGACTGCCTCCCAGGCAGCCTTCATCTCTCATGTTAACAAATGAGGCAGCCTGGCTGTTCAGTATCCCATGTGCCCCAGAAGATGCATTGCTGCTACACGAGAAGCAAAACTCAAAGGCTTGCAGTATAGTGTGGCTAGAAGATCTGGGTTATATTCATCTGCATACCCAAGTTGAGTTGTGATTTTTCTCTGGAAAAAGGTGAACACGGCAATCAGATTGTGAGAAGAGCAATTTTCTTGTCAACAACTTTTTTACAGTTTTTGGAAGCTTCCAAAGCTTGGAAGTTCTATGCTTCTGTCACCTGTATCTTGGAACGTAAGGCAAATGGTGTATGAAATAAAAGATTTCTCTCTCTTGCAGATTCCAGAAGTCATTAAGTTCTGTTGTGATTTTCTAATGTCCTGGGTAGATGAAGAGAACATCCTGGATGTATACAAACTAGCTGACCATTATGACTTGAGACATTTGAGCGATCAGCTGGACTCCTACATTTTGAAGAACTTTGCAGCTTTCTCAAGGACACAAGCATACCGCCAGCTACCCCTGCAGAAGGTCTACTCCCTGCTCAGTAGCAACCGTTTGGAGGTTAACTATGAATTTGAAGTTTATGATGGTGCACTTTTTTATCATTATTCTCCAGAGCAACTGGAGACAGATCAGGTCTCCCTGATGGAGCCCCTTAAGCTACTTGAGACAGTTCGATTTCCTCTGATGGAACCCCAGATCCTGCAAAGGCTTCATGACAAATTAAGTCCATGTCCTTTAAAAGATACAGTCGCAGACGCATTAATGTACCACAAGAATGAATGTCTTCAGCCAATGCTCCAGAGCTCCCAGACACAGCTGAGATCAGAGTTCCAGTGTGTAGTGGGATTTGGAGGGATGCATTCTACTCCATCCATTGTTCTCAGTGATCAAGCCAAGTATCTGAACCCCCTGTTGGGAGAGTGGAGGCACTTTACAGCTGCACTAGCCCCCAGAATGTCCAACCAGGGGATTGCTGTTCTCAATAATTTTGTATATTTAATTGGCGGAGACAACAATGTAAGTGGTTTTCGAGCAGAGTCGAGGTGTTGGAGGTAAGATAAGGATAATCCTGCTACTATTCTCATTTCCACCCCATTGCCCATCTCTGAGTCAGTAAGCCTTTAGTGCAGTCTATATGCTTGCTGGCAAAAAAGATAGGAACCTCTCACTGAAAGAAATAATGAGAAATAAGGAAATTAGCATCATAGCAACAGAAAGCTTCCAGCAATGCCACTCCTGACTGCGTAGAAACAGCTGCTTATTCAGGAGTATTACAGCCTTCTCTTCTTTGTTGGAGGGAGTGAAGTATTAAAGGTGTGGAAATGGTAATGAACTAGAATTTTCCAGAATCCTAGACTGTCTAAGTGCTCTTGAAATGAGATTTTCCAAAAGTCCTCTGTGTGCAGTTCTCATCCCTGTGCAAAGGGATTTAGCCACCAGAAAGGATTTGTTAGTAAAATGCTGCTATTAGTTAATTACTGAGAAAATGCATGCACAGTAGCAGCATTCCAGGGCTGTCTTCAGTTCTGTGCCAGAAAAAAATGCACTGGAGAAAGGAACAGTTTTAGATCTTGATGCCCATTACATTGCAAAAACAGATATAAACCCTTTTGATTTTATAATGTAATCATCTTATCTTTACTAATTACAGTGGAATTGCCCTGATTTCATGCCACGCACATCTTCCCTTCACCATCAGCTGTCACTGTAACTACAATTTCCAGATTGGATAGATCCCTATATCTGAAAATTAATCATGAGGCTTACTTGAAGCAGCACATATGTTGGAAAAAAAGAGTCAAAGAAGCCACGAAATGCTTATGCACTCTCTTGATGTCTTGAAGATCCAGATTCAGTCTGTGCTACTGTTAGAATGTTTTACCTTGTAGAATGGCTTTATGCTAACAGATTTTGATGCATAATCTGAAGGCACGTATAAGACAATAGAAAACCTAGGCTTTTATAGCATGATTGTATCAGCTGAAATACATCTTCTAAAAATAGACAAGAAGAACTTTGCTAATAATAAGATGCTGACAAGGCTGTATTTCACTCCACTTACAGCTGAATTTAATTTCAACCAAAGACAGTACAATAACCCCATGTGTGGTGCTGTCTTGTATTCCAGCAATGATTCTGTGGGTGTATGAATCACTTCCTTTGATCCCATTCTTTTATAAGGTATGACCCACGACACAACAAATGGTTCCAGATCCAGTCCCTACAGCAAGAGCATGCTGACCTCAGTGTTTGTGTTGTGGACAATTATATATACGCCGTCGCAGGCCGAGATTACCATGAAGACCTGAGAGAAGTGGAGAGGTATGATCCTAAAAGCAACACTTGGGAATATGTGACACCTCTGAAGAAGGAGGTAAGGAGTGCGTTAGCCACACGCACTGATACAGTTCCCCAGTTCCTAATTTCATCTTTTTAGGTGCTTTTCTCATGCATAGCTTTCATTTTGCTGATACTCACATGGGAAGCTACTTCTGCATTTGAGATAAACATACCAGTAAAGAATAATAATAATGTTGAACTTTAATTTTGAGGTTTAATGCTTATTTTTCTTGTTTTCTCCCTGTTTTCCCCTGCACCTCTGTTGTATTAATCCTTAAAACCATTTCAAATTGAACATGTAAGTCAGGGAAGTCCCCATTCCTCCTGGGGTAGGTAAACCATGAGTAGTATAAGCTTCTTATCTACAGTCCTGATAAGCATGCTTTATTCCCAATTAGAAGAAATCATCAAATACTAGGAAGATACTATAGGATCACAAAATGGCTCAGGTTCAAGGGATCTTAAAGATCATCTAGTTCCAACACCCCCTGCCATGGGCAGGCTTGCCAACCACTAAATCAGGCACTAGATCAGATACTAGATCAGGTTGCCCAGACCCTATCCAGCCTCCAGGGATGGAGCATTCACAACTTCTCTGAGTATGCTGTTCCAGTGCCTCACCACCCTCTGAGTGAGGGTACATCAGTTTCTGTATACTATTTAGCTCATGGACTTCCAAGTAGGCAAGGGAGAAAAGTAACTATATGGATGAGTTTCTAATAAAGAAATAGTAAGAAATGACAACCCAGTGCAGTTCTGGAAGTTTTGGAAATTCTGGGGTAATTAATTTAGAAATTCACACTTTCAACATAATCACCTTGAAAGGAGTTGTCTGTAAAAAAAATAGAAAATCCTTTCAAATGTTAATATCTGTATAACTCATGAAGAATGTCACTTCTTTAATGTCTATTCCATACTTTGAAGCTGGGAGAAATACATAAACACAGACCTCCAACTCTTGCTTTCCCACGTGGTGATGCAGGTATATGCACACGCTGGAGCAGCACTGGATGGGAAGATGTATATTACCTGTGGGAGGAGAGGAGAAGATTATCTGAAGGAGCTGCAATGTTACGATCCAAAGACTGACCGCTGGGAAGTTTTAGCAGATGGTCCAGAGAGACGTGCTTGGCATGGGATGGCTGCACTGCTGGGAAAGCTCTATGTGATTGGAGGAAGCAACAATGATTCTGGATACAGAAGGGATGTTCACCAGGTGAGAGCTTATCATACCTATGTCCTGGAAGAGTCTGTTTCTTATAGATGCTTTCACACTGATGTCTTTCTCCTCCTAAGTACGCAAGTAAAACTCTCTAGCATCAGCTCTCTTCCACTTAATTGCAGAACTTGCCATGATTTATTTGCTGCTGTCTTGAATGCACTGTCTAAGCATTAAAGCTCTAGCATTTGAGATTCATGTAAATTTTAAAATATCTTTGCTGAATGACATTCACTCCCATGAATAAAGCCCCTAACTAGCACATCAGCTGAGTTTCCTTTAATTGCCTTCTCATATGCATTTTTTCCTAAGTTAAGAACCTTGGAATTAGCAGTGTACAATTGCAGGACAGGATTTGTTAAGGATACGTTGGAAAGCACAATGAATGGATTGGATGGCAATTGTATAATGCAATAAAATATACAGTACCTGATGGGCAGTGATGAATGGAGAATTTTCTTGTGTCTTACTCTGACTTCTATAACTGCTAAAGACGTGAAAAAAGACAAAAAAAAAAAGTAATTGCTTTGTTGAAGCCAATGAAGATAGCAAAATTCAAGCTGAAGTTTGAGTTACAAAAAGATGCTTACAAATAAGTGGAGTTAGTAGAGTAGCTACCCACTGCAATCTAAAACTTTCCAGCACACGGTGCAGAGATGGTTAGCAGGTTTGTCATGTTTGTGTGATGCAGCACATTGTTCCTATTGCAAACAGGTGTGCTGTGTCTGAGCTCATATTAACATGTCCCCATCTCACACTTCTGTATCTGTTTTTTTGAATGACATACAGCTGCTAGCACAACAGCTGGGTCAGACATTGTGACTGAGTTATATGGCAAATATGCACAGTTCTACTGAGCATTGTACTTCTACTGCATGAGAAGCGTGCTCTGTGTTATCAGTGCCCATTGAAGGACTGGTGGTATGGTGTGGCTGCATGAGTAGTTTGCCATCCAGCCAGGCTCTGTCACTAAGATCCAAGTTCAATTTTGGCTAATCTATTTTTTACCTTATACAGGTTGCCTGCTACAGGCCAAGCACTGATCAGTGGACAAATGTATGTCCACTTCCTGCAGGACATGGAGAGCCAGGTATCGCTGTCTTAGACAACAGGATCTACGTCCTGGGAGGCAGATCCCACAACAGAGGAATCCGCATGGACTATGTCCACATTTATGATGCAGAGAGAGACTGTTGGGAGGACGGACCCCAGTTGGAGGATGATATTTCTGGGATGGCTGCCTGTGTCCTCACCTTGCCCAGGGCTATTTTAATGGAAACAGAGAAATGGTTCTCAGAATGGCATGCAGACCGCATGAAGTATCACCTTGACCTTCCATCAGAAGTTATGAGCGTATCAGACTGGGAAGAATTTGACAATTCAAGTGAAGATTAAAAAATTTAGTATTTATTTTTTGCCAGTAGTTGAGGAAATTAAGTCTTGAAAGAAAAAAAAAAAAGAAAAAAACATAAAGATTTTATATGTCTTTCTTATATCCATAAATATGTATTTAAAAGTTTGAAAAATGAGTGTTCTGCACAAAATGACATTCGCTGTTATTATCTGCTCATCTGCAAGTGTTTTGCACAAAATGCCACTACCAGTCAGTATCTGCTCACCTGCCAGAAAGCAGAATTTTTAAAGTAACCACAGAACTGCCATTTCCCCCCAGATAAAGTAGAGAGGTTAATTTCCTTTGGAGGAGACTTCTCTCAACTTCCAGCGTGGACAGAAAAAGAAAAAAAAAAAAAAAAGGCACAGAAAGCTCAGCTTGACTGGCTTCTTTCCTTCCAGCTTTTAATGTGAAATAGCTCTTTGAGTTTAGGGAGATTTTATTTTTTCTGGTAATAAAACCTTCTAGCAAGCCTAACATGGGAAGGTAAGAACTAGCACCTCCCTCCTGTGCCAGGCGTCAGCCTGATCGTTTCTAGCCAGACTGAACATACAGAAGCAGGAACAGTAGAAGAAATCTGAATCTTCATCTCATCTGGGCATGCAGCCATGCTCATAGCTGGGTTAGAGTCTGTGAACTGACATCCATTCCCGAATTTCTGTACTACAGGTGCTGACAACACAGCAGAAAGATTTCTAGAAACAGCTCTTTGTACAGAATATGGCAATCTCATCATTCAACTGTCAGACACATTTGTTCACAATCATAAATTAATTAATAAATCTTTGTCAGAACGTTTTTTTCTTTTTAACTACTGTGACAGTTTTATTAACCATGATGTGGAATCTAAAATACGGAGAGCTCAATTAGATCCATGTTACTACATTATTATCAGTGAAGATACACCAGCTTGGGAATGGGCCGATTTTTTATTCGCTCTTGTAATATACACTTTACAAAAGGATAAAGAGAGAAGAAATGGGTTTGCCTCAGATGAGGGAAGTAATAAGCAGATAACAAGCAGTAGTGAAGAAGCCACTCATCCAAGACCCTATGGTAGCTGAACTAATGACAGGAAAATAACAGAATCACCACAGCTCAAAAAGATAAAACATAGAAAAGCCTTTGCTTAAGAAGCTTAAATGATTCACTTCTGAATGCCATTTTGATTTTGCTTGACATTAGTTTAGAAGCTGATTTAAAGTCCAAACCATTGTGATATGTGGACATAGGCTCCTTCCCTCCTGGAGGGGCAGGGACTAATGGGTGCCACATGAAAATCATGAGCCAAAAGCCTTTAAAACTTCTAGCAGTAGCAGGGCTGCAGGAGGAAGGGTGAAACCAAAGCGATGCTCAGTAATCATCACATGACAAATAATCGTTGGCCTGCTACTTCAGAGAAACGTTCTCCCATCTCTTGATTTCGAAATGGATTTCACTGACTCCACATGAGTACAGTGGGCTTCTGGAAAAGGTTTAGAAGGATTTGAATGGCTTTTCTTTTTTCCCAGCTGGGGAGTCAGATTGTTTTTCTTCAGCACTGTCAGTTTTTACCTCAATGTTGGACCCTTTGCCAATTGGCAAATAAAGCAGAAGACCTGACAAAGCAGGAAACCCTATACGTGAGCTTCCTCAGAAAATCCATTTTGATAATAAAGTCTGTTATGCTGCAATACAGGAGCCTGGGGTGTATTCATCTTTAGCCCACAGAGCTATTTTGAACTTGTAAGAATTCAGTGCAGCTCTCACATGTAATGACAAATCTGAGGTTGACAGCACAAAAACACTCCTTCCAGACTGCAGGCATTGCAGTGGCAATCTGTTGTGCCTGCACACTGACCAAGTGATTCCACACTCCTAGTGATCCAAGCCACACTGTAGATCCAGGTGTTCCAACTAACCCTGGCAATTAGCACACATCTGACTGCACTGCTTGCAGCGTGTTTCACATTTTAACTAGCATGTCTTAACAGACCAGTGATAAGCAGTGTATTTCAAGGGAAAATGGTTGTTAGCCTCTTCCATGACAATTAAAAATGGGATCATTCTTTGTCTGGCTTATTTTCCTTTTCCTATGTATTCCACTAGAGGGCATTACTTACTATTTTAATTAAACTGGGCTTAAATTATGTAGGGGAATGCAAGATGTAATTATTAAGCTAAAGAAATGTCATGAGGAAACTCACACTTCTATTTTTCCCAGCCTTTTCCTATCACTCCTCCAGAGTTTGGATACTGATCTCTAGATAGTCAGGAGATCCATTTTTCTACTTCATCAGCATATGCAATTTAGTGACTGTTATTTATTAAATAACAGTTGGATGCTGTGCAAAGCAAATCAGTACACAGCTTAGAAGGCAGTTATGACGAAACAACCTGTCCTTAAAACACATTATATACCTTAGGAATGTTGTATTTTTTATTTTTTTTTTTCCATTTTTTAAGCTGCCAGCATTATACATCCACATTACATGAACCAATTCTATAAGCAGATCTGCATTTTGATTTGGTAAAAACAAATCTTCATTTGCTTTCACTCCCAACATTTCATCTGAGCACAATATGACAGTTAAAAGGTACCATATGCACTATTGTAACTGCATGCATTTTGTTTTAGTGAAAAAACAAGCACGTTTCCTTTAGGTCAAACCATCCTAATCATTTAGCAGCTGCATGGTCTGGTCCAGCATTCTCCTTTTCAAGCCAACACCCAGGCTAACAATAATCAAATCACTTTGCTCTAAAATTATGTCTAAAACATATGAAGAGCTTTGTTGTTCTTGCTCAGTGCAGTTACCCACACAAAGAAACTGCAGGAGGGATTACAGATTGATATGCTGAGGTGTGAATTATCATCAATCTATTAAGGCTGAAGCTTCAGGAACTTCTTTAGCACACCTAAACTTTGTGTTCACTCAAGGAAAACATGCTCTCATGGGGGTTTTAGGCTGATTCTGATTTTTGATATTTTTTCTCTTTTTGATTAAAAAATCCTCTAGTCTCCTAGATATGTCAGCCTCGTACCTTGCAGTAAGAAGCATCACATTGTAGCACAAGGCACTGCAGACAGTTGAATGATGAACTAAGAAAAGTTGACATTACTTCTGGTCTGTAAGATATGAGCCAAACAGCTCTTCAGAACAGTGTGACCACAATTCTAAAGCTTTAACAGCCGATGCACTAGGAAGCCCAGAAGAATAACAACTTTGTTTCTTAATAATCTATTTTCCTCTTTCCTGCCAGCCAGAGGTAAAGCTATAGAGGAATATTTACTAGATTTGTAATTAGTGGACTTGTATCCTGAAGTATTTTAGGCTTCCTTATTTGCACAAGTGATTATAATTGCCTCAGGTTTTGTTTCTAAGTGCTTTCACTACTGTATTTGTTTTCCAGCTGCCTACCTCTAAATCCAACACATCCTTTCCCACTTCCTCCTCATTTCAATTAGGATTGTTAATTTTGTCTTGGAAGCATACCCAGTTCTTCATTTAAAAGAAAGAAGGATTCTCATTCTAAACCTTTGATACAAGGTTACTCCCGCTTACACAGGAATGAGCCACGGAGGGGGGCTTTTGGCAAAAAGAGGAAGAAGCAGCTGGGCACGGGGTAAGAGGGACAGCACTTACACGAGGCAATATTCTGCCAGCTGAGTTTCTATTTTATTAGCAGCTGATGCTCTTCAAGAGATCCCTATTTCATCAGTTGCACTGCAGCAAATATTTGGCAGAATATTCCGAGGACAGAAGCTGCCAATGCATAACACAAAGAGCACAAACTCATTCATATACAATAAAAAGGTAAAGTGGCACTGTAAAACAGCCCTAAAAATCCATACATCTCTCCACTCTTCATGAGACAGACTAGGAAGCTGCTGCCTAGTCTTATTTGATAATGGTAACAAGCTTGAATATATCATCTTTTTCTCTTAGTGTAAGTAGAAGATGGGGCGTTTTACCTAGCTGATTTCACTTAATTCAACCACAGTTATTGAAACTGAAAGGGGAATGACCTGAAGGATGCACACAGCCTCCACAAGCTCAAGTCAGAACAGATAATTGTGGCAGTTCCTTTCAAACTGAAAACCCTTCTGTGCTTAGTGTCTTTTCGGGAAGGGAAGGTGGCTGGTTGTGCTGGTTCCTCAGTCACCACTCGAGCCCTCTGTAGCACTGCACTGAAACTGGTTTATAATCAAGTGCTATTTATTCCTGACATGTTTCCACTCTTTAGAGATAGTTGTGCTATTTACATGAAATGGAGGCAGGATAATTACATATTTGACTTACATTTGATTTTTATCATGCTATAACAATAATTATAATTCAATAAAATGCAGCACGAATTTTTATTTCCTTTTCATATACTACGTATTACTGATTCTGCTGCTAGCTTGTGGCTCTTGTAATTATTTTTAAACATTATCTGGCTTGTTATTTCAAGTACTGTCTTGTAGTTTGGCCACAGCTGCACAGAAAATGACTCAAACCTATTCAAATAACAAACAGAAATATAACAACCTTCATAATCTATTGTAACCTGTTTACCGGTGCTTAAAAATGACTCTCATTGGCAGATAAAAGTACTTCAACTAGAAGGAATTGATCAATGATATGCCTATTAGGTAAGTTTCCCTAAAAGAAGTTTGCATGGGTGTGAATTTTCAGATGGAACTATTCATCTCTGGCCCTATTGTTTTACTTGTGTTGCTCTGCCTGATTAAACAGCTGTTGTTTTCCACCCAGGAGATGGCTGTACTTGGCAGCTGGTGAAGCGATACCCACACATGTATTCAGGACCAAGTTTAAGATCCTTCTGTATTAGTGATGCCACAAGATTTTCCTGAATAGTTTTTGCTAAAACATAAGAATCTGAGCGAGGTGAGGCTTCCATTTTTGTTATCTGAACTCAATGCTTGGAGAGAGAGAGCCCACACCGATACAAACACCTCAGTTGGCACTGTCTATCAACATAGGAAATAAAGCAAAAAACCAACCGTGCTATGAGCGAGCTTTTGGAATAAACAGCATGAAGGGAAGATGGCAAAGCTGGAGTTGAGCCTGCACAGCAACCGGGCTGGGCAGGTTGCGAGAGTCACCTCCAATCTGCTTCTCCATTTGAAACCTCACTTACTTCACTCGGCTCTGCTTCACACTGACAGCCTCAAAAGCAAAACAAGAAGAGAAACAAAATCAAATGAAATCACAGAGCTGACCTAAAAAATCAGCAAAGTGTTTGTGAAGGTATCTCTAGCACGTCTGGGGAATCGGTGCTGTTCACTTTGTCGTGTCCTTACCTGGGGCAGCCGAGCACGGCGATACCACCGAGAGCTGCCTGAAATCAGCCCTGCTGCCGGGACTCGTGCTGCTGCTCCGGCTCACCGCAGCACCCAGCGCTGCCAGGCCCCGCTCAGCCCTTCTTTCCTCCTCAGCCATCACCTCAAAGGGCTTCGACCTCCTCATGCGGGAACAACGTGAAAAAGAGGTGAAACTCAAAACGCGCAGGAAAGCATCACCAAAAATCCTCAGAGGAGGCAACGTGGGCGCCAAGTGCCCGCGGGCAGGGAGCTCAGCGAGCCGCGAGGGGCGAGAGGCCAGGGATGCACGAGAGCGGCCCTACGAAGATGGAGGCGCATCAGCAGCTCCCCTCGCACACCTCCAGCCCGGCAGCAGGCGGCCTTTCTGGACCGCTCCCCTGCCGCCTCCCCGCTCTCCTCACGCCGCCGCGGGCCGCAGCGCGCATGCGCGGGGCGGTGTCTCCGGAGGGCTCTCACCGCCCTGCGCCGCCGCCATTTTGGTGCTCGGCTCCGAGAGGGGTGGGAACCCGTAGAAGAAAGCGGGAGCCCGGCGCTTCGCCCCTCCCGTTTCTCTCTCATCCGGCGCCGAGACACCGTAGCGGGATATCCTCGCCACCTTTTTGGACCGCCCGACCTCGCAGCCCGCCCGGGCCTGAGACAGGCGGGAAGGATGCCGCCCCGCACGCCGCGCCGCTGAGCACATCGGGGCCCTGAGCGCCGCGCCCGGCCGGCCCCGCCCGGCGATCCTCGGGCCTCCGCCTCGGCAGCACGGGGCTTCCTCCTCCGCATCCCCCGTCCCTTTGCCGCCCGTCCGCCGGGCTGGGCGCTTCCTCCTCGCCCCCGGCCCCGCCGTCTGCCCTTCCGGGCCTTCCCCTCCCGGCTCTCCTCTTCCCGCGGGGCCTCCGGGCTCTTGGCCTTCTTCCTCCCCTCCCTCGCCCTTCCCCGTTCGAAGCCATGTCCTCCGCCGCCCGGTTCGATTCGTCGGACCGCTCCAGCTGGTACGTGGGTCCGGTATCGCGGGCGGAGGCGCAGACTCGGCTGCAGGGGCAGCGGCATGGCATGTTCCTGGTGCGGGATTCGTCCACCTGCCCGGGGGATTACGTGCTGTCGGTATCCGAGAACTCCCGGGTATCCCACTACATCATTAACTCGTTGCCTAACCGCCGCTTTAAGATCGGCGATCAGGAGTTCGAGCACCTGCCCGCCCTGCTGGAGTTCTACAAGATCCACTACTTGGATACCACCACCCTCATCGAGCCCGCGCCCAGGTGAGTGCTGCAGCTCCGGGATCTGTGTGGGGTTCGTCTGCTTTGAAACTCTGGGACAGGGCTCTCGGTGATGGCCGTGGGTTGCTCGTTACGGTTATCATCAGTATAGCAAGTAGGGCCCGTCCTTGTGATGAATATAGGCAGATGTGGAGGCTCTGGGAACATCCCTGCCACCCACTGTAATTGTCTTGCAGGAGGGTGTGGTCTTGCTTTGTATCAGCCTTCTTGTATTGTCCCCTTACTGGGACGGCTGAGAGAAGCTGGCTCTGAAGTCTTCCCCTCCCTGGCTGAAGTATGGCCTCAGAACTCAGTTGCTCTGGCCTCACATCCACAGTGATTCCAACAGGTCGTGCCTTTGTGATTCCTGCTTCGTGGTGCTGATTGAATTCTCATGCATTCAAAAGCATTGTTTCCCAGACTTCCCCCAGAAGAGGGTAAAAGCATTTATCTCTGCTTATGGCACTCTTTGTCTCTGCATATGCATACACCAAGAAATGCTCTTTTAGGAGGATGGGAAAATGTGACTTGGCTGTGAGCTCATTCTTTGTCCTGCACCCAACACAGGGCATACCTGCAGGCTGCATCTCTAAACAGCTTACCAGTAACCCTGGAACATATTTGTTTCATCCTTTGGGCTTCCTAGATAAAAGAAGGAGAAAAGCTATTAAAATAATGACACAGTTATAAAAAAAAAAAAAAAAAGAATCAAATAGCTTGAATTCTAAATTCTGCAGCTGAAGGGATTTCTTTCAGGTTAACAAGTTATTGGGGGGGAGGGGGAACTTTTGAGTTTTAGAATCACAGTTTAACGTTATTATAGTCCAGTTCTTAATCACAATCACTAAGTTGTCAAAAGTCGACCGCAGCGTCAAATTGAAAAAGGCAAGTGGTCAGCAGGCTCTGCAGAGCTGTCAGGTGGTGGGAGGAGCGTGACAAAGCTCTGGCCTCAAGAGCTCCTAAAGCTGTTGAGAAACCTTCTGGTAGTGGTTGTGCTGTGGCTAAAGAAAAGGGTAGGTGAAAAATTCCCTCATCTTTTACAGGTGCTGAAACATTTAACTGGAGCTGCACAGGGTTATGCATATGTTTAAACTTACAGACAGTTTGGAAGAAAAAAGTCTATACTGCAGTGGTGTTCTTGCTCATCTCTGTTCTTGTTAACCTGGGTACTGTCAACTCTTTCTGAAAACAAACCCTCATTCTTAGTCATTGACAGCAAGGACTTGGCTTCCACAACTTAAACATAGTTGATTCCACTTGTTCTCTGGGTATTTGTGTCATACCTTGCATGAAACATTTCCTGAACATCTTAGTACCACCTTATTTTCAAGGCATTCATTGCAGACAGATGGTGGTGGTGTTCTCAGCACACAGAGACAGATGGGACCTGCCATACTGTGACCTGAGGTGCTTTTTCATTAAGCTACAAAAGGGGTTGAAGTGGTTATCCACAGTACAATTACTGTTCTGAAATCTTGGAAAAAAATCACTGACATGGTTGATGGTTTGGACTTCTGTCTATATAAAACAAACTTTGTGATGCAAGAGGGAGAGTGGGAGGTAGCACTTCCAGATTTACTTTCTTTAAATCAATGGGCTACATTTAGAATAGGGGTAGATAGGAGTTTCTTCCAGAACTGTTACTGTTCTCATTTCTCTTGAAAATTTGGCCTTTTCCATGGAACGTCTCAGGTGCTTTTGCAGGCTCTTAGTTCTTCTGACTTCATGAAGTGCATATATATACATATATATATATATATATATATATAATAGAAAGCAGTGTTTGTGGTATGTTCCTTCCAGCAGATGTTAGTATTTCCTCCTGTTTCTTATGAAGAATGTCACGTTATGCTATTAGGTATTTAGATATTCAGGAATTACAAGTACTCTTAAATAGAGTTGAAGTTAGGACAGTAAGATCAGGGAGCTTAATTCCGTATTACTTTCCAGAATGGAAGGGAAACGTGTTGTCTCCTAAGACCATTAAATATGTCTCTGTCCTGAAACAAAGGGGTTTTTGGTATTAATATGGCTGCCCCTCAAATCCTGCATATCAGCAGTAGCCTTCTGGTACAAGGATGCTCTACTGCCTACAGCATCAGAAAGACTGTAGAGTTTATCATATTCTTCCTTTTACTATTGCTTCCATTTTCCCACTGTGCTCCCTCAGGTTTGCCATTCAGGGTTACTGGATTCTTGACAGAAGTGGATGCTGAGGTTAAAGATGGAAATGCAATGAACTGGAGAGGATTATGTAGCTCTCCAGAAGCTCCTCCCCAGTCAACCAAAACTTTTTCACTTATTCTTACTATATCACAACTTCTCATAACTTAAGCCACAGAGGTCTTTATTCTACCTTAACATCTTCACAATAATCCAAAAGAGAAAGCAAAGCAGTAATTAAGGTTTTGCCTTATTATACCTTTTTTTTTTTCTTTTTTACATCTATGATAGCTTTTTATTGTATGTTGCTACATAGGTGAACAAGGTAGTTCTCCTTTACCTGGTGTTCCTTGTGTGCAGCTGGTGGCTAGTTTTGTTACTGGCAGTGCAAAACAACGGCTGTTGATAATTGGGACTTCTTTAATCTCAGGTATCCAAGTCCACCAATGGGATCTGGATCTGCCCCTGCTATGTCTGCTGCCGAAGAAAACGTGGAATACGTTCGGACTCTCTATGACTTTCCTGGCAACGATGCTGAGGATCTGCCATTTAAAAAGGGCGAAATACTGGTAATTGTAGAGAAGCCAGAAGAACAGTGGTGGAGTGCCAGAAACAAGGATGGTCGGATTGGGATGATTCCTGTTCCTTACGTAGAAAAGCTAGTTAGATCTTCTATTGGAAAGCACGGCAACAGAAATTCCAACAGTTACGGTATTCCAGAACCTGCCCATGCTTATGCTCAGCCTCAGACCACAAGTCCCCTTCCCACAGTATCCAGTACACCTGGAGCAGTCATCAACCCTCTGCCATCCACGCAGAATGGACCAGTCTATGCCAAAGCTATCCAAAAGAGAGTACCCTGCGCTTATGACAAGACGGCACTGGCATTAGAGGTGAGTTTTCCCCTTTGTCTTACAGTTCTCCAATGGTTTTGAAAAATAAACTAAATATTGTTAGAGCAGGTGTGGATGATTTTATGTGGAGTCTGTTTATCTGTGCCAAAGGACTGAAAAGTTCTGTTATGTTCTGAAGAAAGACGTACAAAAATTGCTTCATCTACACCACTTCCTTCGAGAAAATTGACTGAGCTACTTCAGAACCCAGGCCTAATGCACTGTTGTCTTGCCTATGGAACAGTGAAATATATTATAAGAGCAGTAGAATATATACATCCTTCTGTGGAAGTGACTTTGCTTCTCTACTTAATCTTAGAGAAGGGATGTTTAATTGATCATTCCAGGCTGAGAACTGAAGTAGAAAGGTAAGGATTGCTGATACAGTTATTTTTTCTGATTCTCAACCGTAGCTTTTTGGATGTGTGGGGTGGGGGGCTCAAGGAGCAAATGCAGGGAAACAAGCAAGGGAAGCAACAACACCTTAGCAAGCAGAGTAGGGATTTTAGAAAATGTTTTTGAACTTTTCCTGTTGCCTTTTCTCAGTTTGCAAATGAAGCTGCTGCTTTTCATTAAGATTCAAAAGGTTTTGTTTGTCACTTTTGGTTATTCATAAAAGTTTCCCAAAATTGCCCTCTTGTACAATCTCTACAGGTGATTATTGGCAGAGGGTTAAAAATTAAACGTATCACTGTTTTCCTTGAGTCTTACAAAAGCTAGCAGCCTGTCATTTGTGAACAGTGTGTGAAAATTAGCATAGGAAGAAAAGTAAATTCTCTGCCAACTGCTCCGTACAGAAGATTCCTGCCAAAACTATTCATGCTTCTGAAGACAGTAAGGCAAGCAGTTGATTTTATGTTATCAGTGTGTCATAGAACAACTTGAGGGAACCTGCTTTGCTGCAAGGTAGCAGAACTGCTTGGGAGGATGGCTCTCACTAATGAATTTTCTCCTATTTGCTATTTAGTGACCTAGTTAATCCAATCATTTAACTGCCCTGGTAGGATTCATTCTCTGGCCAAACATGCAGGTTTGAGTTGTGATTATAGCTTTTCCATC